AAAAAAAAAGTTAAATTAATTAAGTTATAGTTAAGTAATATGTTACCATTAGTTGAATATACACTTCGTTCTGATATGCAAAAGAAAGAGTTACAAAATGCTTATAAAAACAAAATTTTTAAAGGATTTGTTCAACTCAGTTGTAGTGAAGAAACAACAAAGAAATTATCATTAGAAGATTTATTGATAACGTTTGAAGTTATTTTTCAATTAATCATAATAAAACATAAAAAAAGTATTAACTGATATAGTCCAATTCAAAGATTAATGAGATATCATACCTTATTAACTGAATTACTCAAATACACACCATTAAAACATCCTGATTATAAATATATTGTAAAAGCAGATCAAAAATTTCATGATTTAGTTATTGCAACAAATACACGAGCTAAACAACATGACTTATTATTAACATGTGCATCAGTGATTTATGGAATGCCAGAATTAGTTCAACCATGGAGATATTGTATTTATTATGAAGAATGTTATGTAAATGGATTAAAAACAAAATCAATGTGTTTTTTATTTAATGATGTTATTGTTTGGATGGATACTGTTGTTCCATTGGTTATTGAACAACAAGCAAGTTATTTTTTAAAATATGAAGAAACAAATCAAATATATTTAACAGAAATTACAAATCATTTTAAATCAGTTAGAATACCAAATTGTTATGAAATTATACTTAAAGATAAACATTATAGTTTTGTATTTCTTAAACATGAGCATTTAAATACATGGGTTAATGTATTACATACTTGTTTAAATCCTAAATGAATTGTTATAATTTTCTTTTATTTTCTTAGTTCTTAATTTATTTTTAGAGTAGATAAGACAATCCTTAATAACCCAATTTTGAAGAATCTTATTATTTCATTTAAGCAATGCAATCAAAAGAAGAAAAACTTGAAGAATTAAAACAGAGATTTTCAAGTATTGCATTACAATGTGAAAAAAAGATAAAACTAATTTCAGAGTCTAATGAAAAAAATAATAAAGGAGAAGAAAATAAAAAGCGTATTTGTTTTTCTTGTGCTTTATGGTTTTTAAAAACATTAATGATTATGTTCTTTTTAGTTTTTATTCTTGTTGTAGGATTATTATTATTGTTATCAACACAGAATGATTGAAATAGTAAATTAAATATTATTTTTATTTTATTTTTGTTTATCAAAAGAAAGAAACATATAAAAAAAATTATTATTTAATCAGAAGAATTAATTAACAATGAACTATTTGTTGATTTATTTATTTTCATTGACTTCCATTTCAATCTCTGTATTGATATGTTTTTCTTTATTTTCAACTAAAGGAATTGATGATGATGAGGATTGTTCATTAGGAATTGGAGAAACAATAATTCCTTCTTTCTTGATATTAGAAAAGGAATCTTTTGAGTGTTGGTCAGTATGAGATTCAATAGTAGTATTAGTAGTAGCAGTTTGTAAAGGAGTAATAGTTAATTCTGATGGTTTATGTGTTTCAGTCATTTCAATTTCATCAATAATTTCAATATGATCTTCATTATTATCATCTCGTTGATATGTTCCTTTAATAAATTTATCCAATGAAAGTGTTTTATTAGTATCTTTATAGTCCATGCCAGTACGTGATAAGAAAACTTCTTCAAGACTAGAAGGAGAAACTCCCCAATTTACAACATTAATTTCTTTAGATTCTAACTTTGTTAGTAATGTTAATAATTCTTTAGATTGAGTATATCCTATTCCAATTTTCAATTTACCAGATACTTTCTGAATGACTTTAGCTTCAGGAATAAGTTCAATAATAGTTTTTTCGACTTTATTAACCTCTTCTATATCAGCATTTAAAGTAAGAACATATCCAGTTCCAAACTTTGACTTTAAATGAGTAGAACTACCAATACACTGTATTTTACCACGTGACATAATTGCAATTTTATCACTTAGAATTTCTGCTTCATCCATATAATGTGTTGTTAATAACACAGTTTTACCAACTTTTATCTTTTCAATTACCTTCCATACCTCTCTTCTTGAAACAGGATCCATTCCTGTTGTTGGTTCATCTAATATAACACATTTAGGTTTAGCTATACATGCAATAGCAACACTTAATCTTCTTTTCATACCACCAGAATAATTTCCAACTTGCTTATCTCCTGCTTTAGTTAATGAAACAAGATCAAGTAAGTTTTCTACTTCTTGTTCTAAGGTATATCCTTTTAAACCTTTTAAACTACCATAAAATCTAAGATGTTCTCTTCCTGTTAATACAGGGAAAATAACATCATGTTGTGGACATAATCCAATTTGTGACCTAACATAACTAAGGTCTGATGCAAGATCTATTCCTCCCATAAATATTCTTCCATGTGATGGAATATGTTGTCCAGTAATAATTTTAATTAGTGTTGATTTTCCTGCACCGTTATGTCCAAGTAATGTAAAAACAGTTCCTGCATCAACAGATAAAGTAACTCCTCTCACTGCATGAACATCATTTTTAGATTTATAAGGCCAATTAGTATAAAAGGTTTTTCTAACATTATAAAGTCTCATTGGTTTTTTATTTGATTCATCAAGTGTCATTTTCTTTTCAGCATCTACATCTTCATCCATTTCATCGTCTTCTTCATCTTCTTTTATAACTTTCTTAGCAAGTTGTTTTAATGTCTTATATCCAAAAACTTCAAATAACCATCCATTCTCAGATTCACTACTAATTAATATTAATGTTCCAACAATAAGCCAAAAAATACCAATACAAAACATTAATAACATAGAATAAAATGGTCCAAAAACATTTGAGTTAGGAACTTTCTCCAACATATCTGACCAAGTTAATCCATAATCATATCTTTTTGTAAAAGCAGACATAGAAGTACCAAAGAATAAAGGAGGAAATAGTCCAAGAATAACAATATAAATATATGCTAAGTTATTGAAAATAGCATCAACAAACATTGATGTTTCTGCTAATAATTGAAAAATTAATCCAACAATAAAAAATCCTATTGATGAAGTTATTGCAATACGTGTTTTATTCATTAATGTAGCTAAAAAATATGCAAAACATGTTAATGAGAATGTAAAAGTCCACATAACAATAAATAAACAAAATAAATTTGCTTTTGTCATTAATCTAAAACCACAAGCTGCTCCTATTCCAATAACAAACCAACAAAGAAAGAAAGAAATAATCATATTTTGAATAAAATGTGCTATCCAATAAGCACTATCATACATTCCCACCATTTTCATATAAAGACGATGTTCATTTTCTTTTTCTCCAACAATGAGATTAAGAAAAATAATAAAATTAATTAAATAAATAACAAAAAGATAAGGTCCACTAATATCTCCTAATAATTGCTTTTGTAATGTTTCATCTTTATTATTTGGAAATCGTTGATATTTAAAATTAATGGTAACTGGTTTTTTATTCATTTTACTTATTAAAAATTCTTGTGTTTCCCAACTAATTTGCATGTAACTTTTTGTTTGAATAGATTGTGTCATATGTGGATTTACTAATACTGAATATTGTAATATTGTTGGTGTTGAATCAAAAACACTTGAAGTGGATGGATGAAGAATAAGAGTTGCAACATAATGAAGGTCTTCATCATATAAAAAGTCTTCAATTGTTCTATCATTCATATTTGTTGAGTTAACAACAATAATATTTTTCATTGGATAATGTTGTTTAAATGTTTCATATAATTCTAAAACATCATTGTT